CTCCCACAGTGCTAGTGTTCTACTGGAACGGAGCTTTTATCATGATCACTGCTAGTGGCTATAGCCACTGACAGTAATTGCATTAAAAAAATAATATCTGACCGGCAGTTGCACTGAAGTTGAACAATGAATGAACTTCACTACAGGCAGCCTGCCCGTAGGGGGATCAAATCTAATCCAGTCCCCGCTGAACCGGCTGAGATTGGATCCATCTATGGCTGGCTTAAGAGGTGGAAAAACAAGGTATTAGTCTACACTGGTATCCAAGTAATGCAGGGAACTATGGTGCAAGTGCAGGTTGTATCAATCATAAAGCAAGTGTAATTCAGAGACTTTAGTGGAGCAAGGACCAGGATTAGCTTCCGAAGCATTCCACAATGCCTGGTCTCTCAATGATGTCACCATCAGTACTTGCTCACACTTCTAAATTTAAACTTCAGAAGTCAGCAGTTGTGTAATCATTGCATGAGATGGAGACAACTATGCGATATAGCCACACAGTACTTTCATCGCTGCCAAATCAAAAATCTGAAGTTCATTAGCGTTCTAATCAGGCCTTTAAATTTCCATTCTGCCTGGAGCTGTGTCCGGAGACAGAACAAGAAGCCAAAGTGTTTAGCAGTATAGAAATCAGTTTTTTCCACTGACACCAGATTTCTTCCTTTTCATTATGACATTTACCATTACAATACATTCAATCATGGCAATTAACTGACCGCTCTGCATTCCAAAGATCAGTCTTTAAAATTTAAATGCAAACTTGTTTTGTTATGTTGCCATGCAACAGTCTCGTCAGATTATTACCAACAGCCATTGCAGAACGCAGCTGTCTGTGCATTGTGTGCTTTGTCACCTTTCATCTACATTCCCATCTCCCTGCTGTCCCAGACACACTGGACTAAAAAGGCGGAATATGATCAACAATATTTGCAGATTGTGCAGTTTAGGAAAATACAGAGCCTCTCATACACAACACAGTGAAGAATGTATACTTTTAGGTGTTCAAGCACTAGAGCAGGAAGTCTGGGAAGCTCCCATAAAGCTCATATTGGTTAATCAGCTAAATCTATTGGTGGAAGAAGCCATCTGACCTAATCCTACTCTCCATAATACAACAGATGCATGCGGTCAACAGTCAGTATGGGACATGGTAACCCAGGGAAATGTAGGCACACAGTATGAACAACATTTAGATCCCATTCACGGTGGATTTGTATCCAAATTGCAGTAAAACACAATCAACATTTGGGTGCCATTTTTAAGGACACCCCAAACATGATGCAATTCTGCTGCAATTATCAAGTGGTAATCACTGGAAAATGCAAGTTTGAACATTGCAAAGCTTGTCACCCAATAAGGAGGTGCTTTCTTGGGCAAACAACGCACATAGGGCAGCCCATTGTAGTGCTTCGGCTGCCGTACGCTTGACACGCGGAAACATGAAAATTATGCTTTAAAAGTCACAAGCGGGAATGCTAGTTCTCGCCAACACAAGATCTGCATGGGGTCTTATACCAGGGGTAGGCAACCTTGGAGAAGTAGAGATATTGGGCAGCACATTGGCTAAATGGTTAGCACTTCCGCCTGGCAGTACTAGGGTTGTTGGTTCGAATCCCAGCCACGGCACCACCTGCCTGGAGTTTGCATGTTCTTCCTGTGCCTGCGTGGGTTTCCTCCCACACTTCAAAGACGTGCTGGTGGGTTAACTGGCCTAGTATGTGTATGTATGAATGCGAGATAGGGCCCTTAGATTGTACACACCTTGAAGGTTAGGGACTGATGTGAATGTACAATATATATGTAAAGCGCTGCATAAGTTGACAGCGCTATAAAAGTATCTGTAATAAATACATTTCAACATGGAAGCGATCAAAGATCACCAGCGTGCTGCACACTAGGAGATTACCTAGCATGGCCCATTAAATAAAAAGGTTTGAAAAAGTGTAGGGAGCGATAGCAAATACTGCTAGTTCAGAGGTATGCAACAAGGCATGCAGAGGTCAGTAATATATAATGCAGAGGTCAGTAGTACACAATGCACAGTTTAGGGGTCAGAGAGGAGTAGTAGGCCACTCAGTGGTCAGGAGTAATGAAGCAGCACAAGGGTCAGGAGTATGTAATTCATTAGTAACATTGCAGGAGTCAGTAGTATGTAACAGAGTTCAAAAGGTAAGTAACAGTGCATGATCAGTACTGTGTAAGGGCCCATTCAAACTAGAGCAGTAGCTGGCATTTTTTCTACACAGGAAGCCAGGTCACCACTAGGGCACATAAACAACAAATGTTTTCCATGTGCCACATTCTCAGTGGGGAAAGAACAAAAAGAGGGCGCACAGGCCTAGTGCATTACCATAAAAAATGTTTAATAAAAAATAAAGTAGGTGTTGTACTCACAAACGACAATATAGTCAAGGCACATCATAGAAGAACAGCTGGATCAACACCGCGCTGAATAACAGTCCACAATAGGGAGTTTAGACATCCAAAAGGCTGACGCGTTTCGAGGACTTGCCTCTTCCTCAGAGCCCTGTTGATCCGGTGTTGATCCAGCTGTTCTTCTATGATGTGCCTTGACTATATTGTCGTTTGTGAGTACAACACCTACTTTATTTTTTATTAAACATTTTTTATGGTAATGCACTAGGCCTGTGCGCCCTCTTTTTGTTCTTTCCCCATTCAGTATATTTGGATTCCCCCGGTCCATTTGAGGGCAGCAAGGTGTGCATGTTCCAGGACATTCTTAATGTGGTTGTAGCATCGAGTCCATCCCCAAGCGCAGGAGCATTTGTGTTTGCTGGTTCTTTGCCACATTCTCAGTGCCTGTTCACATATATGTGGATTCAGTGCGAACTGAACAGTCCAGTCAGTTTTCTGTGCTGCCCAGCTCAGGTGCAAATTCAGGCTTACTGACTTCTATGGGAACACTTCTGAATTGCACATGTCATCAGTTGTGAACCGGATAAAATCCTGGCCTGATCAAACCCCAACCTGACCTGAACTGCTGAACAACTACTTTGTCAATTATCTGTGAAAATGGAGCTTCAATGCGCACTACATGTGGGAATCCAAACTCACTGCAACAGAGTTCAGAGGTACAGAGGTGTGATAAAACACAGGCATGCTGCATCATTGCATGGCACCGCACAGCAAGGAAGACACACCCCGGTGTGGTGCCCTTTAATGTTTAAGAAAAAAAAAAAAAAACCCACACGGCCAGACCTGATGAGCAACTTGCCTTTTTTTTCCTGTTGTCACTTTTCTGTTTTTACTTCAATGGGCTACCTGCAAGAAACACAGTAAATAGCCCCTGACTGTTTTAGGGGGCAGTAAAGATCATGCACTTTCCTTTTTGAGTACAGAACCACAAACCATGTGGCTTGCCGATGCAAGGGGGTGCCATTAAGAACTAATGGCACCCCAGCATGTCTGCTAAAGAACAATGCGTTTCTCTGCATGCCAGGAGCGCACACCAGCCTGTATGTGTTCCCAAGCTGCAGAGATGTGAACCCAGCCTAGCACACAGTAGCCCTGGTCAATCAATTCCTCCTCTCAAGAAGCTGCCACCATAATGCAAAATAAAAGGTTAATGTCACTGGCAGGTATACACTATGTATTGAAGGCCGTAGCCCTATACAATGCCACCTTAGCAATGAGGACCCCTCATTACAGCCTGCAGCCTCCTGTGCCACTGAGCCCCAGCAGCTAGCCATTTTGCAGCATGTGACTCATCTGGTTCACCAGAACCTACTGCTGCTGCTTTAACACAGACATTGCCAAGTTTGCAGTGCTGGCTGGGAGGGACTCTTATGTACACCTGAAATGCATTAGAATTATGATCTGAAAAACTAGTGGACATTCATGGTTCACACTATCACGGGTGGCTGCAGGTGCGGGAATCACAGCAATGCCCACACCCGTAACCACCTGCAGACAAAACGCGCTGCTGTTTAAAAACGTGCTTGGCTGCCATTCATTCTTAAGGCTACCCCCAGACATCTCAAACCACAGTGCATTTGCAGGTGCCGCAGGGAAATCACATAGTGCATAAGCAAGTCCCATGATTAAAGGCCATGAGCTGTTGTGAATGAACTACAAGTCCAGTCCACCGCCAGACATAAATCGATCAATGCGCAGTTCACTACATTTGTAGTTCATTGACACTTCCTCCAGTTCTCCAACTGAAAACCCATACTTTTTGTAGGGGCAGGGAGTTTGAGTAAGTCTGCAGGAACCAGGCATTGAATCTGTGATCCACTGATCACAAGTGCAATGCTTTGCAGGCTTGCCAAGAAAAAAAAAAAAAATGAATGTTCATTTTAAAAAAAAAAAAAAAAAAAAAAAAAAAAAAAAAGGTTAATTTTAAGGTGGACTGAGGTTTTAAGGTGGTTGTAAAGGCTCAAGGATTTGTACCTCAGTACCCCCTCTTACCTAAGCCCCCTCCCAATCCAGCGATGTGCACTGGAGTCTAAGCTATCCCGGGGCTCCCTCTCCTTATTGGAGGTCAATCACAGCCAGTGACAGCTAATGAGGAGAGAGGGAGCCGCGGCTTGGCCTTGCCGCATGTGTGAATGGACACAGGGAGCAGCGGCTTGGGAGCGTGCATTCTCAGGTGCCCCCTTAGCAAACTGCTTGCTGTGGGGGGCACCCGACAGGAGGGAGGGGGCAGGAAGGCCGGCAGGGGACCCAAGAAGAAGAGGATGGTCTGGGCTGCTCTGTGCAAAACCACTGCACACAGCAGGTAAGTATGACATGTTATTTGTAAAAGCTTACTTTTTTTTTTTTTATAATCACTTTAAATAACTCTGGAATACATGTCCCATAATGCATTGCAGCAATGCACATGGGGGGGGGGGGGGAAGGGGGAGACAGACAGTCTTTGGTGTTGAGAATTATGCTGCCATATCACACTCTTCTAGACCATTAGTGTATAAAAACACTTAAAACATATGCATATAAAAAAAAAAAAAAAAAAAAAAAAAAAAAAAGGACAAAGCACTCACCTTTGGTCTGAAGTTTGTTGTAGGTCCAACATATTCATGCTGAGCTTTGACCGTTCCCCAGGGATGGTGAATTTTAAAGCACTCATTACAATAGCTAGCGCTGCAATCCAGGCAGCTTTTAGTGGACTCTTGAACTGGAGGTTTACAAAGGTCACACATGATCGCAGTGGCAGCACGAGCTGCCTGGCGATAGCGTTCTACAATAGTCTCCAAGGTAAAGTTCCTAAAGAGCCCATGGATCCCGCGCTCTCCAAGGTCCACATCGTGTAAACATCCAGGACATGATAAAGTTGTGATCTTGGGAGTCAGTGAATTGCGTTTAGAACCTACAGGACACAAGGACAGATTACTGGGAGACAATACAGCTCTGATTCTCTTAAGTGGAAAAAAGCAGAAAGTGGACTTATACAGTTCATAAATGTCTTCAGTCTATTAAATGATTATCAGTATTTAAAAAGCATATCAGCACATTTAAAAGCCAGCAAATTTTTTTTTAGCAGAAGCTGGGCTTTTCAATGGTATAAACTCTTCTTCTAAAAAGCAAGAAACCCCGTTCTAGTGCTTTCTGATTTACCACTTCTGCAGAATAAATACTCCATACATTACATACAAAAACTTCCATTTGGATTAAAGCAATATTTCATAGCATGCTAGTATATATCCAAGAATTGCTTCTAACAGGCAAATGTAGTAAGCAGAAAACATACTAGGTACATTAGGAGAAAAAAAAATATTTCCAACGCCTGTCAGGATATTGCTGCTATGACTCCAGCTGTGAACAATTAGTACAGCCAGCTACCCAAACTGACTACTGGTACTGTAGGGGAATGGTTAAAAAACAACTACCTGGGCTAATTCCCTGCGACAGAAAAATCCAGCATTCTACAGGTATCATCCAGTGGGTTGATCCCCCAAAGAATGGCATCAGCACAGTTCTGGTGCCAATATCCCAAGGTGGAGCCAGCGATGGCTCTGGCTCAGACACTGAGCATCTCACCTCACCAGTTACACCTGGAAAGCCACCACTGGCCACCAATGTTAGGGGGCATTTTCCCTCACTTTGACCAAATGTAAGGTTGACCAATGTAATACCCATTTTCTCTGTAAGGATTAGCAGGTTTCAAATTCTTAAAATAGGTTTTTTCACCAGTGCTGTTGCAAACTAGAGGGAATCAATTATAATCAGGGGTAGGCAACATTAAAGAGGTAGAGATCTACCTGAACAACATGGGAGAAGTAAAGATCACCGGGAACACAGGGTCGCCTCCTCACACCCAATTTAAAAAACTTCTAATTGCCATACTACGGTGTCGAAATCGCATGCATTGCACAGCAATCATGGGTTTAAAATCAGGTGGTGAGGAGATCACATATCTGCACCTGCGATGTGGGAAAACTGCAGCACATTAGTATGAATGCAGCCTTATATTCTACCAAGTGCATTGCTGCAAACTGATTTGAAGATCTTCTTTCCTGCTGCTGGCAGAATTCTGGAGACTGCTAGTTGGGACAGGAGCCAGCACTACAGAGGAGGCATCGGCTCGGCTTATGCGGCTCTTGGGCCTTATAGCTCAAACTTTACAAGTAGTCCCTCTCTGCTAGAGGCTCTGGGATGGTAGGTCAGCAAGCACAGGTAATGATCTACCAGTCAGCTGGCCGCAATCTGATTGCTAACCCCCGATTTATATAAATGGCCACCATGGCAATTGACAGCCAAGTACAATAAACAAACATATCTAGGTGCTGCAATATAAGAGCAATAAAGAGCTTACAATAGCTTACACAGTTACTGTTATACGGAATAGCAAGTAGGATGGCAGGAGTCACCAAGTTATAATTGAGAAGTTATTACTCCCTTAGGGGTTATGGAGGTGGCAGCACCAACACAACTGGGGTCTGCTCACCTTCTTACAGTGAGTAGACGGCTTTCATGTAGAAGTCATCGGATCACTTCTGCATATACAGTATGTGTCCCCACCCCCAACCACTATGTCCCAGGGGTTACCTGTCCCTCTGGGTGATATCCAGTGGATGTCAGAATGAAAGTGGTTGAGATCAGCAAATACCCAGTCACTAATCTCCCCTCCAAAGGATGAATCTGGAAGCACTCAGCTCTGAGCCCTTCCAGGTTCAGAGCTGTCAATCTGCAACTGCACTGGCCAGGAAAAGAACTGACTGAGCACAGACTGCTTCAGCTGAGTACAGGAGTGACATAAGCGGTTTATTAGACCCCCTGATGCATCTTGAAAGAGCCTGTCACCTGCACTATGCTATAAGCTTCTAAGCCCTCTTGTAGTAGCATAAAAAGCACACAAGGTTTTTTAATAAATACCCAAAATTTTCACCATCCCCAGGTACACACAGATACAAACCCAAGCATGTGCACTGTGTGCACACGCATGCAAAAATCAAAAGCATCACACACATACTAGGGATTGTTTTATAAGCAAGAGTGAAACTAATTCTAATGCCATCATTCACTGTTACTTTCAACCGATTAGCTGTAAAGGCTTTTAAAGCATTACCTATTGACAATTGTGTGCATAGTTCATAGTTCTTCTCGCCACTTCATGAATGTGTAATTCTAAGATTTGACATATTTGGTATTTACTCCATGCAACCTCAACTTTTTTTTTTGTAAAATTTAAAAGGCATTTTGCGTTTGTATGATTTTCAGCAAATAAAAAAAAATAAATAAAATTTAAAGACTACATTAAAATCTGCAGGACAAACATTGTGTGACAGAAAAACTGCAGCTGCCATCAATTTATTCTACAGGGTCTCTGCTTTTAGAAAATATACATTTGAAGGGGTGGTGGTTAGTAAATCTTCAGGCACCATATGTGCATTTTTAACGTGTGCAAAAAATAAACAAAAATAAAAAGCACTGGTATTGAAAGGGTTTAAAAAGGAGAGAGCAGATAGAAAATGAACACAAGACAGTAGGAGAGAGATAAATTGGGGAGCTGAAAGACAGACGTGTCATCTGTATGGAAGTGTCAGAAATTAAATTAGCTGGTCAAGATCATGAATCATAGGCAGTACAGTGGCTAAATGATTAGCATTTCTGCCTGGCAGTACTAGGGTCGTTGGTTCGAAACCCAGCCACGGCACCACCTGCCTGAAGTTTGCATGTTCTCCGTGTGGGTTTCCTCCGGGTACTCTGGTGTCCTCCCACACTCCAAAGACATGCTGGTAGGTTAATTGAATCCTGTCTAAATTGGCCCTAGTATGTGTATGAATGTGAGTTAGGGACCTTAGATTGTACGCCCTTTGAGGGTTAGGGACTGATGTGAATGTATAATATATATGTAAAGCGCTGCGTAAATTGACGGCTCTATACAAGTACCTGAAATAAATAGCTGGAGAACAGAACTGTTCAAATACACAAATGGGGGTGAGGAAAGGAAGCAAAGTGGGAATGAAAAGCCTAAAAGTCCATCCAGGAAGTGAAAAGATCCAAGGGAGTTAAAGACTGTTGATACCTAGGAAGGGGAGGCTATGGAATAGAAAAGATAAGCCAGCCGTGTCAAAGACGACAAGTCATGCATAATGAAGTGGGCTTTAGATACTAAATTCAGAAGTTTTTGGCAACTTTGGTAAGGGCACCTTCAGTGGAATGCCTGGGGCACAATCTAAAGTGAGGAACAGAAGTATTTGAACATCCTGCGATCGTGCAAGTTCTCCCACTTAGAAATCATGGAGGGGTCTGAAATTCACATTGTTGGTGCATTCCCACTCTAACAGAATTTAAAAAAAAAAAAAAAAAATTCAGGAAATCACATTGTATGATTTTTAAAGAATTTATTTGTCTTGCACTGCTGAACATATTTGAACACCTGAAAAAATCAGTGTTAGTATCTGGTACAGAAGCCTTTGTTTGCAATTAGAGGTCAAACGTTTCCTGTAGTTCTTGACCAGGTTTGCACACACTGCAACAGGGATTTTGGCCCACTCCTCCACACAGATCTCCTCTAGATCTGTCAGGTTTCGGGGCTCTCGCTGAGTAACACGGAGTTTCAGCTCCCTCCAAATATGTTCTATTGGATTTAGGTCTGGAGACTGGCTAGACCACTCCAGAACCTTGATATGCTTCTTACGGAGCCACTCCTTGGTTATCCTGGCTGTGTGCTTCGGGTCGTTATGTTGGAAGACCCAACCACGACCCATCTTCAATGCTCTGAGGGAAGGAGGTTGTTGCTCAAAATCTCACAATAAATGGCCCCATTCATCCTCTCAATACCGTGCAGGCATCCTGTCCCCTTCGCAGAAAAGCACCCCCAAAGCATGACGTTACCACCCGCATGCTTCACAGTAGGGATGGTGTTCTTGGGATGCAACTCATCCTTTTTCCTCCAAACACGACGAGTGAAGTTTAGACCAAAAAGTTCAACTTTGGTCTTATCTGACCACATGACTTTCTCCCTTGCCTCCTCTGGATCATCCAGATGGTCATTGGCAAACTTCAGACGGGTCTGGACATGTGATGACTTGAACAGGGGAACCTTCTGTGCAATGCATGATTTGAAACCATGACAGCGTAGTGTTCTACCGACAGTGACCTTTGAAACTGTGGTCCCAGCTCTCCATGTCATTGACAAGCTCCTCCCTTGTAGTTCTGGGCTGATTCCTCACCTTTCTTATCAGTGATGCCCCACGAGGTGAGATCTTGCATGGAGCCCCAGTCTGACAGTCGTCTTTAGCCTCTTCCATTTTCTAACAATTGCTCCAACAGTTGATCTATTTTCACCAAGCTGCTTGGCAATTGCACCGTAGCCCTTTCCAGCCTTGTGGAGGTCCACAATTTTGTCTCTGGTGTCTTTTGACAGCTCTTTGGTCTTTCCCATGGTAGTAGTTGGCATCTGACTGACTGTGGGGTGGACAGGTGTCTTTAAAGAGCTCAGACAGGTGCAACTAAGTTAGATTAATGAGTGGAGTAGAGGTGGACTTTTTAAAGGCACAGTAACAGGTCTTTGAGAGACAGAATTCTTGCTGTTTCTTAGGTGTTCAAATACTTATGTTCAGCAGTGCACAACAAATAAATTCTTAAAAAATCATACAATGTGATTTCCTAAAAAATTTTTCTTTTTAAATTCTGTCTGAGTGGGAATGCACCAACAATGTGAATTTCAGACCCCTCCATGATTTCTAAGTGGGAGAACTTGCAAAATCGCAGGGTTTTCAAATACTTCTGTTCCTCACTGTAAGTCAAATCCAGACCCATCTCCATAGCAGTATTTCTTGTTTACACCCCTTTTATGGATTACTAGCAAAAAACGATACAAAAACAAACACCTCTGTGTACTACAGTATTCTCAAACTGTCC